TGTCCACCCCCGAAACGAAGTCCGCGTGATGAGCTCATGGCGCGTGCCGCGCCTCGCCCTGCGAGCCTCGCCCACGGCAGCTGCACAGCACCGGCGCCTCGAAGGCGGCCCGCCGGGGCCCCCCGCCGGGGCCCGCGCGCGCCAGCTTCCGAGCCGCGCCCCCCCGTGGCGCAGGGGGCCCCCCCGCCCGACGGCCACACGCCGCTGTCTCAGCTCGCCACCCTCTGATATTACCAGCCTCGAACTTATCCCTATCCCTAAGATTGACACGCCAAGAGGCGATGACAATCCTAGGGATCCGCCCCCAGAAACCAAGGAACCCCCTAAGATTGGCATCGTGATGAGGAGATGCCCAGCATAGAGATAGGGATATGTTCCAGGCTGGTAATGATAGAGCCTCCCCCGTGGGGTCCGAGGACAGCGGCGCGGGAAGATCGCGCCCGCAGCGCAGATGCACCAGGCGATGCGTCGGCGACGTCGGCGACGCCTCGGCGCCGCCGGCGTGGGAGAGATCGGGCTCCCCATCGAGCTGCGTCGCCGATGCACCGGCCAGGCGGCGCGATCCTCGGGCCCCATCTGCTCGAACCCCATCTCTGAAGGGGCCCTGGGACATACAAATGAGTACACAGAAATGACTGGATTCCCCATATTTCCCCATGTCTTTGGGGGGTGTTGTCTTCCCCCACCCCCCACTTCCCGTATGTTTCCACATCTTCCTGGGGATCGACGGTTCATTGTGTCTCTGTGTGTACACCCAGCGAAATGCTTAAGAAATCATGGGTTAAGAAATTCATAGTCTCAGAACTTGAATAAAAACCCAACATTTCGATTAAAATCTTGACTAATCGAGATTTTAATCGAAAGAACCTAATTGAAACGTTAAGAATAATCGAGACTCCGGCCGAAAACTTAAGTTTTCTTAGACATCGCCTAAGGTGTATGTATGTGTGTGTATGTGTGTGTGTGTGTGTTCCCCTCCCGAATCCTGGAGGCGTGGGTCTGAGCCCAGACGGGCCCGGGAGCGCCCTCGGCGAGGCGCCGCGGGTGGGGAGCGCCCCCCCGGGCTCGAAGGAGAGCGCCCGAAGACCTCGGACCTCGGAGAACCCCGCGAAGGCCCTCAGTTTGAGTCGGGCGCGTCCCCCTACAAGGAGGCTGGCTTTTTTCGTCGACGAAACATAAGAAACACCCCCAAAATGTACTCCAAAATGGGAGAAACATGTTCAGAACATGGTCCCCAGACTATTTTGTGACTATTTTTGAAGGTTCCCCCTGTAGAGGGACAGGCCCGACTTAACCCTAAGTGCCGTTGTCTCAACGCGCCATCCTCCTGGGCCTCGCGAACAGGCCGTCTGCCTGCCGAAATGGTGATGGCGACGCTGATGGTGATGCTGATGGTGCTGCTGATGCTGATGGTGCTGCTGATGCTGATGATGTTGCTGACGTGTTCCCCATCGGACCGGTGACAATTACGGAATGACAGCGGAAATGAAACGCGTCCTCCGGCAATCAAGTCAGGCTGCAGCTGCGAATTCACTGTCGCCACAGCAACCGAACCGCCGCAAAAGGGTGGGCGCCAAAAGGGAGGGGAAGCAGGCAGGCGCCACCTGGGAGGACGAGGGGGGAGGCCGATCGATCTACCAAGGCCGCTGAAAGCTAAGCTCGCCACACTGGGGCCCCTCGGAGCACCGAGGGCAACTCTCGCCATCGCTCGGACGTCCATTCCCTGTATTTTTTTCTGTTTCGTGCGTGGTTTCTTCGCCAAATGATCAAGGATGCTCCTCGATGGTCCTCGCCGAAGGAAAAATGCACACGTCCGAACGATGCCAAGAACTGACAGCAGCCGAGGGCGAGCACGGCGCCTGAAACGTGTCCCGACCTCGCGCGAGCGAGGGAGAACCAACAAGCAGCGGCCCACGGACGAAGGATGGTCCGGCCTAGTCGCATCAGCTGGGGTGCGCGATGTGTCCGCGCGCGCTTGCCCAA